CCCCCTTCCCTATGATTGTAAGCCGCCCTGAGTCCCCTCAGGGAAAAGGGCGGCCTATAAATCCTAATAAAATGAAATGAAAAATGAAAAGATACATTTCTAATGTACATTAAAACACATCATACATATTATCTGGGTTTTGCTTTTAAATTTAAAAAACAGTATTATAAGATTTATACTCTGATTAAGCACCTCGTTGTAAGAGATGGAGATACTGAAAGTGCAAAGTTGCAAACATTGAATAATACCCACGCATGCACAAAGCAGCGCAGTAGGTTTTGCTCAATGTATTTAGTAACAGTCTATATAGGACAAATTATTAGAATAACAGTGGTTTAGTTATCCATGCACAATCATGTTACTCAACACAGAGATTAAGTTACTCAACAGAACAATCCAAAATGTGGATGATTAATTTATAATGCACACAATGTGTCTTGTGTGCAAGACCTAATTCTACCAAAGATTCTTTCTTTTTCCCAAGGAGGCTACTTCTACTTTATCTTTACATCTATTTAGTGAAATTTTTTAGGCTGAATCACAATAATGAAAGAGACAACTGGCAGCACTCATGGGTTTTATGGCATGTGGGGGGGGATTAACATCTGTCTAGTTCTGTTCTTGTACTAGAACCACTAGATCATAAAGCAGGAAGGATCCAACCTGACTGCTCCAGGTTCTGATCACCATGGAGAGCTCCAAGTATTGTTACAGTCACCTGGAAACATCTGTGAACGTATTCAAATCCATGTAGAGATGACTACACCACTTGATGAATTTCCTCATCTTATTTCACAACAAGGTCTACCTAGAGCAGTGGTCCTTACACTGTGAATATTTGCAACTATTCTGAGGCTACTTTGTTTCCCTGAAAATAAGACCTCCCTGGATAATAAGCCCAATCAGGCTTTTGAACGCATGCGCTAAAATAAGCCCTCCCTGAAAATATTGCAACATAGCAGCAGTCATGAGGTGATCACGCTTGCCGCCTCCTGCACCTCAAAAATATAAGACCTCCCCAAAAATAAGGCCAGGTGTTTATTTCGGGAGTCAAAAGAAAATAAGACCCTGTCTTATTTTGGGGAAAACACGGTAATTGTTTATGAATCAAGGTTCAAGTTTGGGATTGCTGCTTTTGAGATACTTGTATAAAACCACAGCCTGTTTTAATTTGGGGTTGGTTTTTGGAAAAGGGGATATTAATGACATTATTTAAAACTGGGAAAAATTTAAATAGTTTGATAATAGGATCAAATCGTGACCCGTCAAAACCGCACTCGACTAAGCCGCGCCCGATTAAACCACGTCGCTGACGTCATCAACAGGGCGACAACAGCCAGTGCGGAGAAAGAAGAGTGCTTTAAATAGCGCTTTGAAAGCAAGCCGATTCAACTTAAGGTAAGGGTTAGGTTTAGGGTTAGGTTAAGGGTTAGGGTTAGGGTTAGGGTTAGGG